GGATGGACAGAGGGACAGCTTCAGAAAGGAAGCTACCATAGTTTTAACATTACGTGAAAACAACAGAAGACTGAATTCTTTTAAGTTAGAATAACTACCTTGAACATCACTTTCTTCTCACAGTTCAGGAAAACTAATTTCACATAAACATGAGAAACATAGAAGTACCAAAGTAAAATCCCATTTAAGGTTATTATAAAGATCTTATTTAGAGCAGTATTTTTTGCTAATAACAACTTAACTTCGAATATATACCTAAGCTCTACATTTTTACTCTCTTCCACTTTTTAATGTTTCTGATGGCACAGTATCTTTTTATCTTGTGTATTAATACATTATTGATGTTATTTTTACTACTTTTGTCTTTTAACTTCATAGTTATTCTTACTACTTTTGTCTTTTAACACTTATATTAGATTTATAACTGATTTAATCACTATTACAACATTATAGTATTCTGAAAGTAAGTATATATTTATCTTTACCAGTGAGATTTATACTTTCATATGTTTAGCCATTACTAATTAATGCTCTTTTGTTTCAGCTTGAAGAAGTTCCTTTAACATTTCTTGTAAGGCTGATTTAGTGGTGATGAATTTCTTCATCTTCTGCTTGTCTGGAAACTTTATCTTTCTTTCCATTCTGAAGGACAAATTTACTGGATAGAGTAGAAGCAGGTCCTTGAATAACGTTTTGTTCAACTTGGTTTTGTTACAATGTTGATGAGATGCCATAAGAACTTAATTCTTGTTTATATCAGTTAGCCTGTGGTGAAATTGGTTTCATTATATGTCATTTCATCAATTTGCTTAAAGTCGCAGTATCTATCAATGACATTAAGGACTTGATGTATTCTTGGTTGGCAGTTTTTGTCTTCCCGCACTTTGAATATGTCATGCCACTCCTTCCTGGTCTGTAACGTTTCTGATAACAAAATCTGATTGTCTTATGGGGATTCCCTTATGTGAAACCAGTTGTTTTTCTCTTGCTGTTTTTAAGATTCACTCCTTGTCCTTAACTTTTGACAGTTTAATTATAATGTGTCTTGGTGTGTGTCCTTTTGAACTCATCTTTTTTAGAACTTTCTAGGCTTCCGGGCTCTGGATGTCTATTACTTTCCCCAGGTTAGGGAAATTTTCAGCCAATTTCTTTCAGTAAGCTTTCTCCGTCTTTCTATCCTCTGCTTCTGGGACGCTTATCATCAAGGACCACTTGATGGTATCCTATAAGTCCCTTAAGCTATTTTCACTTTTATTTTTCCCTCTGTGATTGGATGAATTTTACTACGCTGTGCTGTCTTTGAATTTGTTGATCCTTTCTTCTGTCTGATCTAGTGTGCTGTGTTGTACCCCTCTATTGTACTTTTCACTTTATTGTATTCTTCAGTTCTGTGATCTTTCCATTTGGTACTTTCTTATGTTTGTCTCTTTGTTGAAATTCTCCCTTGTTCATACATTGTTCTTCTAACCTCTGAGCATCTTTCTGACCGTTATTTTGAACTCTTTATCAAGTAAATCACATATCTGTTTTATTGTTTCTAGAGTTTTATCTTGTTCTTTTGTTTCCAACATATTCCCTTGTTTCTTCATTTTCCTTGGCTCTGTATTTGTTTCTGTGCATTAGGTAAAACAGCCACCTTTCCCTTTCTTGACGGAGTGATCTTGTGTAGGAGGTGAATGTTACCAGTCAGCCTGGCCTGAGCTCTTGCGTGTCTCTCAGACTTTTGTGATTGTCCAAATTGCCTTTGTTCTTAGTGGCTCCAAATAGTTGAGGGTACCCTGATATCTGTCTTGCATTTCAAAGTGGAGGGTCGCAGTCAGCACCTAGATGGAGGCTGACTGGAAGCTGGACTCCCAAGCAGCAGCTGGGAAAGTATATAGTTAGGGCCCTTCTAGGGAGAAATTGAGAGATGGGTTTTTTTCCCTGCTCCCTCTGTGTTGGATGTAGATACATAGCTACAGAAGAGGTTGCATCTGTACCTATTAAGAACTGCTTCATTATTTACTACTATCCTATGGGACTTGTAAGTGCAAGACTTGTTGGCTTTCAGAGCTAGACAGTCCAGGGGCCCATCCCTTGGGCAACATGAACAAAAGCTGGGTCACCAGATATGTATACAAGCTGATTCTGTGGAGATACTAGAGGTTTGGAGTGAGCTAGAGCTAGAAGGTGGAGGTGATGTCTGCTGGTTTCCCTGGTCTCCTGGAAAGATTACAAGTCACCTCCTAGATATCTGCTAACCTAGAAGCCTGACCATTAGAGAGCAACTTTTAAAGTATGCAAATAGACTTCTTTCAGGGAAAGTCTGGGAGGTGGCAATTCTAACTGATTCATCTGTGCTGAGCCCTGCTGTGATAGATGTCTTTTGTAGGCCTCATGGTAACCAAAAACAAAAACCTATTGTAGATACAAAAAGGATTACTAGAAAAGAATTTAAGCATACCACTATAGAAAATCATCATATCACAAAGGAAGAGAGCAAGAGAAGAAAAGAACGAAGGAAATAAAAACAGCCAGAAGACAATGAACAAAATGGCAATAATAAGTTCATACTTATCAATTTTATATGGAAATGACTAAATTCTTAAGTGAAAATGCATAGTGTCTGAATGGATAAAAGCACAAGACCCACTATATGCTTCCCGCAAGAGACTCATTTCAGCTTTAAGGAAATGCATAGCCTGAAAGTGAAGGGATAGTAAAATATTTTCTCTGCAAATAGAAACCAAAAGAAAGCGGAGGTAGCAATACTTAGATCAGGCAAAATCAACTTTAAGCTGCAGACTGTAACAAGAGACAAAGAAGGTGATTATACGATTATAATAGGGCCAACATTAAGTCTAACAAGAAGCTTTAACTTTGTAAAGATTCATATACCCAGCATAGGAGCTCCTCTGTATATAATGCAAATATTAATAGACATGGAGGGAGAAATATAGAGCAATACAAGAATAGTAGGGACTTCATTACCCCACTTTAAACAATTGATGTATCATCCAGACACAAAACCAATAAGGAAACATTGGATTTAAACTGCACCAGATTATGTGTTCTTCTCAAGTTCACATGGAACATTCTCCAAAATAGATCATGTTAGGCCATAAACATCTTAATAAATTTAAGAAGGTTGAAATTATATCAGGCATCTTTTCTGACCACAGTGGTAAGAAACTAGAAATCAGTTACAAGAAGGAAATTGGAAAATTATGACCTCACACCTGTTAGAAATGGCTGTCTGTTATCAATAAGACAAGAAATAAGTGTTG